CCAAGGCTAGGGCATGTCTGGCCAAGCTGGTATAACGGATCGCATACTCTGAAACAGTCATAGCACCCTGGCACAAATGCTCAAACTCCGCGCGCCATGCGTCCCTGAGGCTTTGAGGAACATACTCCTTCAGGAACAGATCTGAAAACTGAGCCCAAGTTAGTGATGCAGCCTCATCTGGACTATCTAACTCATAGGTGCACCACCACTCATATGCGGCTCCTCAAAGCTGGAAGGTAGTGAAAGAAACCCTGCTTGATCCTGAGATACCCATAGTACAGAGAATGCGGTAACACTCATCAAGAAATCCCAGAGCATCCTCTGATGCTAGACCACTGAATACAGGAGGCTTGTACTTCTTGAACCTCTCAAGCCTCAGCTGCTCATCCTCGGAAGCCGCTACCCTGTCCTCGGGCTAAACTGGCACTACAGGTGGTATAGGAATAATCTCAGGGACCTGCTCAACATGCACTCGCTGCTCAAGAGTGCAGGCGGCGGGAGTCTGTGCTCCTCCCCCGGCCTGAGATGTAGCTGCAGCAAGGGGAAGTAACCCTGCTTGAGCCAGAGTGGTGTACATGCCCATGAACTGTGTTAGAGTCTCCTGAAGAGCTGGGGTAGTAGTAGCAGTAGACGTGTTAGGTGCCTGGACTCCGACTGGAACTGCTGGTGGTACCTCGGCGGCAGCTCGCGCAGGTACTCTGGTTGCACCACGTGCGCATCCTCGGCCTCTACCCCAGCCCCGACCTCTGACAGCTGCAGTAGGGGGCGCGAGTGCCTGATCATCTCGGATGACACGTGTCCTCACCATCTGTGAGAGAATAGAAGACAGAAGTTTAGAATTGTGATGTCAAAATATCACACGACAAGGAAATCAAATGAAGTGGAATTTTCCTAACAGTTACATAGCCTCTCATAGATAAGTACAGACGTCTCCATACCGATCAGCGAGACTCTAATAAACCGGCTTGTGATCCATGACTCCTATGAACCTAAAGCTCTGATACCAACTTATCACGACCCCGGTTCGTCCTCCGTGAACCATCGTGACGACACCTAGTCTCTACGACTAGGTAAGCCTAAATTGCGGAAAAAAAACAAAATTTGCGGAAGAATAAACAACTTTAAATAGTAATAACAGTGTGTAAATGTGCCACTCGGCATACACCATATTCAACTCTCAAACCCAAAACATAAATCCAAGACCTGAAAACCCACGAATCACAAGCCTTTGGAATATCTAACAGTTTACCTCCAGAATATCTAACGAGAAAGAAAAATATAGAAGGGCAATGTTTAACAGCTAAAATAGAAAGGGACTTCTCGATCTACGGACGCGGCAGATGTACCTCGAAGTCTCTAGAGTAGTCGCCTCTCTCAAGGATGGAAGGCCTGAGTAGCGGTACCTGGATCTGCACATGAAAAACATGCGCAGAAGAGGAATGAGTACAACACAGTGGTACTCAATAGTCCCAAGCCTAACCTCGGTTGAGTAGTGACGAGGAAGGTCAGAGCCCTACTAAGGTTAAATAGAATATAAAGATTCAACAGTATAGAACAAAACAGTATAAATAAGTACGACAATAAAATAACACAGGATGTACAGACAGCAACAACTATACAAAAACAAGGTAAACACGGAAAGGAAATACAGCTCAGCACCAATAATAACAAATCGGGAATCTCCCAGGATACCGTCCTGTAGTCCCATATGTATATGTCCAGCGGATCTCCCAGGATCCCGTCCCGTAGTCCAACTCATAGTGCGCGGGGATTTACCAGAATCCCGTTCCGTAGTCCCAAATGTAAATATCCAGTACTAGGGGAATCTACCGGCTGTATTCTCGTAGTTCGATACAACTGTGCAGGGGATCTACCGAAATCCCACATCCGTAGTCCCATAATAAACATACAAGGGGGAGCTACTGGAATCTCACATCCGTAGTCCCAAAATAAATACATAGCAGCAACAGAAAAATATACAGAAATGGCAAAAATTTCATATTAAGGCAACAAGTGATTCTAGCATAGCATGCTGCACATAAGTCAAGTAAGATAGGTTGAGCAAATAGAGCAATTAAGTCACTTAGACATGCTTTCCTAAGCTAACAACAGGCTTAATAGTGCAAGTAATAGAAACAGGAAAGGAAACATACTAGTAATTACTTTAAGAAAACCGGATTTCCAACAATTAGCATAAGTATGCACTCGTCACCTCCCGTACAAGGCATTTCAATTACTAATTACACCAATCCTAAGGGGAAGGTCCCCCACACAAGGTTAGACAAGCCACTTACCTCGAACCGGCTCAAAAATCATTTTGAAACCACGCTCTTGCCACAAGTACTCGACTCCAAATGACCCAAATCTATTCAATTCAATTTCATAATGTAAATAACACTTCAAGTAACTAATCCTACAATTAAATTCTAAGCTAATACGCGAAATTAGGTAAAATGACCAATACGCCCCTCGGGCCCACATCTCGGAATTGGGCGAAATTTACATTTTCAGAAATCTCGTACTCTCACGAGTCTATACATAACAAGAATACTAAAATCGGAGTCCAAATGACCCCTCAAATCCTCATTTAAAGGTCTCTTAAACTCAAGCCCTAATTACTCATTTTTCCCAAATTTTTTACCACTAATTAGGTCCCTAATCACATAAAATGAGTTATGAAATCAAAAATGTTACCTCCAAGTGATTCCCCTTGAATCCCTCTTCAACCCTCTTGAAAAAGCTTCAAAATCGCCTAACAATGGAGGAACCTAGGCTAAAATTCACGAAATAAACCTTTTAAAACATTCTGCCCAGGCATTTAATTCCTTCTTCGCGAACGCGGTCAAGGCCTCGCGTTCGCGAAGCACAAAAATGACGTTGACCAAAAGTCCTCTTATGCGAACGCGACAAGGCCCTCGCAAACGCGATGATTTACCCAGACAAGCCTTCGCGAATGCGTTCCTCTCATCGCGAACGCGATGAGTAAATTCTAATGGGCCAATTTTCCTCCTACGCGAACGCGAAGCCCAATCGCGAACGCGGTTCATAAGTATCCAGCCCTTCGCGAACACGGAGCCTTCCTCGCGAATGTGAAGGCTAAAATTTCACTAACCTCCATTGACTCTTCGCGAACGCGAGGGTCCACTCGCGAACGCGAAGAGTAAATATCTGCAACTGCTGAACCTGCAATTCTGCAACTTTTTAACAACTAAAAATGATCCGTTGAGCATCCGAAACACACCCGAGGCCCCCGGGACCTCAACCAAAGACATCAACATATCCTAAAACCTTATTCAAACTTGTACCAATCTTCAAAACACTTCAAATGACATCAAATCAACCAAAACACATCGGATTCAAGCCTAAGTTTTCCAAAATCTTCCAAATTACGCTTTTGATCAAAAACCCAACCAAACCACCTCCGAATGACCTGAAATTTTGCACACACATCCCAAATGATATAACGAAACTACTGTAACTCTCAAAATTCCATTCCGACCCTCGGATCAAAATCTCACTATCGAACCGGAAACTTCAAAAATTCAACTTTTGGCGTTTCAAGCCTAAATTAGCTACGGACTTCCAAAACACAATCCGAACACGCCCCTAAGCCCGAAATTACCTAACGGAGCTAATAGAACCATCAGATTTTCATTCTGAGGCCGTCTTCACACTGTTCAGACTACGGTCAACTTTCCAACACTTAAGCTCTCATTTAGGGACTAAGTATCCCAAAACTCTCCGAAACTTAAAACCGAACATCCCGGCAAATCAAAATAGTACAAATAGACTCGGGGGAAGCAGTTAATATGGGATCGGGGCGTAAATTCTTAAGACGACCGGTCGGGTCGTCACATCTTTACACTATCAATATATATAAATAAAAATCATGCATACGTGATCAGCACCTTCAATATGTTCATTTTACATGCGATTATAGTGCATCTAACACAATTAGAGCTTAATTTAATCAATAAATGAGAACCACCAAAGAGCTAAAAGGAATATGAAATCTTGCTAATATGAGTTAAATTTCATGAAACAATGTGTGAGACTCAAAACTTAAGCAAGGGTCTCACCAAGGTTACGGATAAGGTAATTAAATCTAATCACTTTTACAATTTTTTTTCCTTTTCTCTTTTTCCTTTTTTGTCTTAATTATCTTTTGAAGTCTCTTTGGTTTCATCTACAAACATACTTTTAATTGGATTACCATATCAAAAGCATTGTCCTTTTTTACTCACCAACTTCTTTTTTTGCACTACTTTGTACTTTTTTTGACATCATCTGTTATTTCAACTAAGTGCAACGTACAGATTTTTATTAACAGGAATAAACAAACAAAAGAAAAATTGATCACAGAACAAATTCCTATTTTCTATTTAGCTACATAATTTATTTACCTTTTTTCTATTACTAAATTCACGTATTGACATGAATAAATAAATAAATAATTTATTATGCGATAAATTTTTTTGTTTAGCTAGAGAACTTGTTTGTCCCTAGTTTATGTTTTTTAATAGTAAGAATTCAAACCATCTCTTCTTCTTTACATTTTTCCTATTAACAAGTTCATTCTTTGCCAACATTTCACAACTTAAAAAAAGGCAAAAAGAAAAGGAAAAATGACTACAATGCTTTTTTCTATATCCTATCTATGTGGTTTAAAACAAAATTCCGAAATTATAATAGGAAATAAGGGGAAAAGTAGCGCTTAATGGAGTACATTTTAAGTTGAAACCAAATAATACTAGTTTAAACCATGAAATACTGGTTTCAAGAGAAATTTTTATTTTTAGTCGTAAATCTCGCAATTTTTTTTTCAAATGAAATTCATAGTAATATAATTTAATTTTATATTAAAAACTTTCCTTTTTATGGTATAAGCTTCGACAAATTCAAATAGAATTACGTAAATAGTGTCCATATGGGTGCTGGTGTGAGTTGGACAAAATCTCCCATTAAATTACAATGGCTCTATCTTAGATTCCGGCATTAAAAAGTAAGACGACAACCTCATATATCCAAAACACTTGTACTATTCATTCAAATATTCGTATCTATTTGCACTCAAATGCTCCTTCTATAGGGCCACATTTCCCACTATTTCTCCTTCTTCTGAAAATTAGAAAGAGACTAGCACAAAAGAACTACTAATTCAACAGCCTCCACCTCTTTCTCCTCTTTCCCTCTTCTTTCTTCAGTTTCCCTTTTGATTTTGGCTCAACTACAATGGCTGAAGAAATCTGTTTCTTTACAAAGGTTTGTTTTTTTTAATTTTTTCCCCTTCAAGTTCCTCTTTTTAATTAATGGACAATGGTTTCCTTTCCTTTCTGTTTTTTGTGCTTTGCTTTTTGCTGAGTATATTCTATAAGAGATCCTGCTAAATATTTCTTCTTGGTACATTTACATTCTTGTTGAAGCTGGACTCTCCTTCCCTTTCTCTAATTGGTTATTTGGGAAACTCGGATTTGTCCAGAAATTTTATTCATGGTGGTTTTAAAGATGTCTCAGATGTATTTCATGACAAATTTTACCTGTATTTTGTACTCATTGATCTGGGGTTTTGATCTTTTTTTTGTACAAACACATTAGTAGAGGCAGGTGCAGACATTTGTGAGCTAAAATAATTTTTTGGGGTCTCATTTTTAGGGTCTGTATTAAACTGAGTGGAAGAAGATTTTTCATTTTTTTTTCCCTGTTTGTTTATAGAGTTGTTGTGAAGATGCAATACTTCACCTGAAATACTTAGTGGGCATTATGAAATTCCAGAAAAAAGTGAAAAAAAAATTTCAAGTTGAAAAATGGTATTTTGGAAATGGGAGTTGTGATTGGACACGAATACAAATTGTAGTTGTTTTTAAATTTTTGTGAGTGATTTGGGATGAAAATTTTGAAAAACAGATTTTTGGAGTTTTTCAAATTTCAAAAGATTTCGGAATTCAACTTCAAGTTGGATTTGAAATTTTCATGGCCAAACACTGATTTTTTTATGGCCAGATGGGCCCTTACTACTATGAATTAACCTCTTAAAGAGACTAACTATACATCTTCCACTACTTGAGAATGTGGTTCATGACTTCTCGGAGGTAAATTTTTGAGTTTAAGTTCTATGCATTAATAGTGCAAAAAATGTTTAACACAAAAAGGGTCACTTATAAAAGTATTACAGGTATTTCTACCATTAATTGATAACCTAATAAAAATGATAGTCAACCTATAACAAAAGATTGTATGTAACTTAATCCAAATTTTATAGGCTAACTAGATTGAGTTTGCTGCTTTATATCAAAAATAGCAGGTGGTTCTTTATAACAGTAATCAGTTTTTTTTTTTAACTTGCCTTTACATGAGTTGATTTCTCTATTTGTTTAGTCAACTAGCATTTACTCGATGTTTAAGATTAATTGCCCAAGGAACGAGTTCATTACTAAGGCTGTGATTTGAGGTCAATTCATGTTGCAATTTTATTTTCCTCTTTTGCGTTGATCTGGTGCATTGACATCTGTCCTTTTATTTTAATGCCAGGATTCTCTTATCATAAAACCTCCCAAGAAATCTCCAGCATTATTGAGGATGATTGTTGTAGTGTTTGCAATGGTTTGCGGTGTTTATATCTGTTCAACCTGTCTTAAGCAAACTAACACCGAGACAACGAGCAAATTGTGGAACATTGAAGTTATAGAAAGGTTGTGTCACGAATATGACACTGACCGATCCCAGATTCCATACTTGCATTATCCTAAACCGAAAACCTTTAACAGGTAGGTATTTGAGTTATTTAGCTCAGTCTTTTACATATTTGTCTTGTATTCATTTCATCTCCTTTGGCCATCTATTGTAGGGGTGAATGTGGTTGTAATCCTGTACGGCTGTTTGCTGTTCTGTCAACCCAGAGGTCTGGGAGTGGATGGTTTGAGACACTATTAAATAGTCATATTAATATAAGCTCCAATGGTGAAATTTTCTCCGTCAAAGAGCGGAGAGAAAATTCCTCCTCAATCTTGAGGACATTGGACAGTGTTTACAATTTGGACTTGTTTACCAGTGCTTCCAAGAATCACTGTTCAGCTGCAGTTGGCTTCAAGTGGATGCTTAATCAGGTAAAATATTTTTCGTTGATTTACATGTTTTAAACTTAAAGTTTCGCTGAGATGTAGGCAGGGATAAAAATGTTGTGGAAGGGGAGACAGTGTGCTCCAACTTTCCAAA